CCTTCCCCCGACCTAAAAGTCTTTTGGGGTAGAGGGAGGGAGCCCGGTGCCATGCGCAACGGCGGGGACCCATGCATAACACGTGAGCGTTCAAAAGCAGGGCGTGGGGCGCGCCAACCCGTTGTAACGCACACGGCCACGGCGACCGGGGGCAGGGGCGAACATCATCCATCCATGCAGAAACCCCTTACCTTTGGGCTTGTCTGGGTTTGAGCTTTGAGCAGCGCTACTGCTGCTGCTGCTGCTGTGATTATCATTATGCAAATGTGAACCCAGCGCAGCTCATTGCAAAGACAAGCACTGATTGCCAGATTAGAGCTTGTAACCACCTTCGGCTGTTTGGCAGGCCTCACAATTCAAGGCCACCCATGAGTCGCCCCAGACTCGGTCGGGCTGTCTCTTCGGCACCGTAAAGAAACAGTCACACATGACAAAAGATAAAAGTACCGATTATGTTTGACTTGCTTGGTTACAACTACCAGCACGCCACTGATGTTTGGGGCTGTGGAGGCGAGTAAGCTCAAAAAAAGAAGAACAGGGAGCCGCTGTGCGTGACGAGAAAGAGCGCAACTGGTGCGCCCGCGATGAATGCATATCAAGATTGCGGGGCAAGCTTGCCGTGCAAGCGACTCAGGCAGGGTGCATCAGACCGCTTGCAAGCAACTTCCCCTGACCAGGTGCCGGGTTGGCTGTCGCTCGTGATACACGCCGTATACTCTACCCGGCCTCGTGTTAAGCCATTGCAACAGTGGCGGCCGCACGTGCCTGACAAGAACCGCCATCATGACCGCAACAGCAGCAGCATGCGGCAAGGTTGCCCAGACACGTGCTAGCCACCCGCTGCTGAAACGCAGCCTATGCTGCACCCTACTCTTCAGGCCTTGGCAACCTCCTCAGCAGCGGGAACTTTCTCCTTCTTCTTGCCACCGAAGGCGGTGTAGAAGATGGCACCCCAGAAGGCGACGCCCCACCAGGCCAGCTGTGGCGGGCAACAACAAGGTGGCGTAGCAGGCACCATGTGAGTCGGAACTGTTTGGATGCAGACCTGCTGATGGGCTGGTTGCTGGCATGGATGTGTTGCAACGCACCCAACACATACTGCATGCACAATGCACCACTTGAACTCCAGGCATGTGGCAGGTTCGCTGCTACATTCTCTTGGAGCAGAACCCACCCCACCAGCCCCGAGCTTGTGCAGCTCGATAGGACTCGCCTGGTGCTTGTGCCACACGTCGGGGTTGGTGGGGTTGTCCCACCAGTTGACGAACATGCTGTCATCCTCATCCTCTGCAAATTGCAACAGCAAGTTTGGACCATGTGACTTGCGGGCCGCATTCCGTGTGCAGCGGCAGCATGATGCAGCTGCAGCAAGTGTGTGCGATCTCGCGCCCTCTGCACTCCTAGCAACCAAGCATGACAGCTCCACGCCTCATTGGTTGACACCATAGGCAATGGTTGCTCGTCTTCGCACCTCCTCCGGCCATGCCACGCTTCTGCTGAAAGACCGCGGCCTGTCTCGGCACCCTGGCCACCTGCCGGGCCTGGGACAACCCCCTTAGGGCAAACATTTCTGCTTATGAAGTTCCGAGGGTCGCCTCAGGCCGGCACCCCAACCTTGAGGGCTCCCTGCTCAGATCTAAATTAGCGCAGCGCTAACTCCGTGCCCCTTACCGAAGTGATAAAGGTGTGCGCGTCACGAATTCAAAACGTTTTCATGTTTGGCACAACAAGCCCGTCACCGACCAGGTTGGCTGTCATGCGGCAGCTTCATGATTCCAGCTTCGCTGCCATCAAGGCCACTTGAAACATACATAGCCATCCCTTGACCGTTACACCTGTTTGCGCCATTGCATGCTCCGTGGTAACCTCGCCAGATCAAGAAACTGTCGTCATCATTCGAGACTCGTAGCCGCGAATCAGGGACAACGGTTGATCGCTCTCCTGCGCAGCAGCCCCCACACCCGGCCCCTTTGCCATGACGCCTGCCACGGCGTTCAAGGAAGCGGCGGCGGAGATGCCCCCGCTGCGAACGGAGAGCACCGCCCGGCGCACGGAGAGCGCGACGGGGGCCACCTCGCCGCTCAGTGCGCGTGCGGCGTCAGTTCGCGATTGCTTCGAGTGCAAGGTGCGGCAGACGCAGGGCGGCACGCGCTTGTGCAGGTGCTGACCAGCCGGACGCTTCGCACCTGCAACTCCGCCAGGCTTCAGATGCCAAGCTTGGCTGCAGGGGTGGGCGTGTGCATGAGGGGAGCTTTAGGCCTGTGCCATATGGTTTGCGCCGGTCCTTGGAAAGCCGGCCGCGCTCTGGGGTTGGATGCCGCGAGTCTGTCTCGCGCAGCCCCTTCAGCGTCCTCACCAGCACATGGTTTCCCAGTCAGTGCCGGCGGTGCTCGCACCAGCTCACCATTTCTGGCACGCCACACCCGACCACTCATGTTGCCGGAGCAGATGCCCCCCCAGCTGGCGCTGTCCATTGTGGTGCTGGGAGCCAGCGGCGACTTGGCGCGCAAGAAGACGTACCCTGCCCTGTACGCGCTCTACTCAAAGGGGTTCCTGCCGTCAAACCTGCAGGTGGCGTCCAGTGTTGCTTGCACATGTACGTGTGCACATGCACATGTTCACATGCGCTGCAGCACAGCGCGCACGCAAAGTTGCAGGGTGGGCCGCACAAGCCCCATTGCACAAAGACAGTCATGTGTGCGAGGACGCATGCCACCACGCATGCCTTCACATGCAAGAAGGCACGGGCACGCGAGTTTGTGCGCGCGCTCGCGCACACACACACACACACACACACACACACACACACACACACACACACAAACACACACAAACACACACACAGATTGTGGGCTACGCACGCAGCAAGATGACTGTCGAGGCTCTTCACAATCAGCTGCAGCCCCACCTCAAGGGTTCAGAAGAAGGCGAACGCTCTAAAGTCAAGTCATTCCTGGCACTCTGCTCGTACATCCATGGCGACGTGAGGGTCATGTGGACAGAGGGGTTTGACTGCTGGGGCAGGGGTGGGTGTGCGTGCATGCGCATGTGTTGATGTTGCAATGGAGCACCTCAAGCAGGGTGTGATGCTGGGGGTGATATTGGCATGAGCGGTGCAGCCAAGGTGCAAAAGTGGCGCGTTTCAAGACGGGTGTGTCGTGTTGTTGCGGTGCTGCTTGCAATGGCTGTGCATGCCGTGCCCGGTCCTGCCCGGCCATGCAATGTCTTGAGCGGGGATGTTGTTGCAATTCCTGCTTGCGTGGAACATAAACCCTGCCTGGCGGGCCCTACCTGTGCATCCATTCCAAGTCAAATACGCACCACCATTACATACGCGCCCAATCCTGCCTTCATCCAGTACGCCCCCGGCGCCGCTGGCTACGAGGAGGTGGCGGCCGCCTGCGGCGCCCACGAGGGCTCAGACAGCCTCGCCCCTGTGGGCCGCCTCTTCTACCTGGCCCTGCCGCCCTTCGTGTACCCACAGGCGAGCGCCGCCAACGGCTGCAGCATGGCGCATGTGCCGCCGCGGCTGCTCCCTTGCTTGCTTTTTTCTCTTGCACGCGAGCCTGCCGCCCCTAAGGCCTCCCACGTGCCCTCGCACCAGCAGCGGTGCAGCCCGCAGGGCACGCGCACGTTTGCTTTATGCCCGCCGCGCTGCATCTCTTTGGTGTGGTCGTGACCGTTTCACAACCCAAATGTATTGATGTACTCCCCGTTTGTCGCACATGTGCCCCCCTTCGTCCAGGTGTGCGAGGGCCTCAGGGGGTCCTGCAGTGACATCAGCGGTGTGAGTGACCCGCGCAGCTGGGTGCGGCTCATCGTAGAGAAGCCCTTTGGCAGGTGAGCAGGCACATGAGGCGGCCGCAACTGTCTGAGCGGTGTTATGAGCCTTGCACGCATTCTGTTGCGGCCAGTGCTAGCATGCCGTAACCCCCGTGGTAACCCCCACAACCTCAGGGGGGCTTTATGTTTGCGCCTCACATACGTCCTACCCAGGACCCTAGCCCACCTCTCCACCTCACTTACACCTCTCTGAAACCTGATCCTCGCCCGGCGCTCGCTCCCAGGGACCTGGCAAGCAGTGAGCTGCTGGCGACACAGCTGGGAGCTCTCTTCCCAGAGGAGCAGCTCTACCGTATTGACCAGTGAGCACGCCTGAGGGTCCGCCTGTGTGGGCCGCACCACCCTAGGGGCAGAAGCTCCTGGTGGCTTGATGGCAGCCGTCTCCTGGCTGGACTGCACTGGTGATTGATACAGGCCTGAATGCAGGAGAGCCCGCATTGCTGCTCAGTCGCGCGTTCGTTCAGCCGCCACGACCGTGCCCCTCGCCTCCACCCCCGACCTGTGCAGCTACCTGGGCAAGGAGATGGCACAGGCGAGCTGCGTTGCAGGAAGAGGGGGCAGTCCTCCTGGAAGGTGCAGGAGGCTGACATGCTGCCTGATGTCAGCCAATTGTTCTCATGTCGGTCACCTCTTTTCTTTTTGCCCCCACTTCCAGGGCACCGTATGTGAACACTGAGCCCTCAACCCTGGAACTCTCTTGCATCACCACCAGAACATGCTGCTGATGCGGTTCGCCAACCCCATCTTTGGGGCCTGGTGGAACCGCCATTACATCTCAAACGTGCAGATCAGCTTCAAAGAGGACTTTGGGACGCAGGTGGGGATGCATCCAAACATGAATAGAGCGCTGAGGAGGGTTCCCCGTCGCCACCAGCGGCAGCGCTTGTGAAATGTCAACCGTGCGGCTGTGCATGCCTTCAGTCTACGAATCTTGTGACAGCTGGGCAGCAGACAAGGGTTGCCCGTCGCCACCAGCGGCAGGGCTTGTGATATGTCAACGGTGCGGCTGTGCATGCCCTCGGTCTACGAATCTTGCGACAGCTGGGCAGCAGACAATACGCTGAGTGCAGGGTGCTGGCAGCTCTGCAGCATAGTTCGAATCGCCCCTTTGCCTCTTTTCCACGCCCTGCCCCTCGCCCTTGAACTCCCCAGGGCCGTGGTGGTTACTTTGACTCCTACGGCATCATCCGCGACGTGATCCAGAACCACCTCACTCAGGTGGGCTGAGGAATTTCTCAGAAGGGCTCAAGGCCCCCTGCTGAATTTGGAGAGGGGACCATGCAACCCTAGGCTGCCTGTCGGCCGGGGTTGGCAGCGCCATGCAGCACGAGCAGCTGACATGGGCTTATTGTGTGCTCTTCTGCCTTGTCTGCGTGGCGGTCACCCTTTGTATTGGTTTCGCAGCTCGGCGTGCATCCTACTGGCAAGAGTGCCCTACTGTGCACCGGCAACTGCATGCGCTGGGATCAGCTCATGCGCCATCGCATCTCAACATCACAACCCTGCAGCTGCTGGCGGTGGTGGGCATGGAGCAGCCCGTGAGCAGCCACCCCGATGACATTCGCGACGAGAAGTGCAAAGTCCTGCGCTGCATCAACCCTGTCAGGAAAGAGGTGGGCCGGGGTGGGACTTGGGGGTGAGCAAGGCTTGGGCTGCTGGGGGGTGGGGGCTGAAGGCCTCAGAGGTCCTGCTCCTGGTGTCAGCCTGGTCTTTGCAGAAACGCAATGAAACAACGAATGGGCTCCGCCGTGTGCTCGCTGTGCCCGGCTGTGCGCCAGCACCCAACGCAGCTGGGCCGGCTTGACAATCGCCCAAAGCGAGGCGGTGTTCTCAGCCCCTCGCCCCCCCCCCACGCAACGCTTGCTCCCCGATTGCACCCTGCGGCGTCGCCTTGAATCCATCTCTGACCGCCGCCTCCCCGGCTGACAGGACTGCATCCTCGGGCAGTACACCGCGGGGGCGGGCGAGCCTGGCTACCTGGAGGACGAGACCGTCCCGCAAGGCAGCAAGGCCCCCACTTTTGCCGCATGCAAGCTCACCATCAACAACGAGCGCTGGGCCGGGGTGCCGTTTGTGCTGCGCGCCGGCAAGGTGCGCGGGGCCGCGCCTCGCGCTTGCGCGCCGCACGCAGTGCCTCCGCTGCCTCGTGCGGGAAAGGTGCTAGTCGGTGCTGCAGCTTGTACCGCTACGCACGGGACGGTTGGCTGCTTTTGTTGATATGGATTTCTCAAAAGCCCCTCGCAATCGGCGGCGTCTTGATACAAAACCATTGCGTATCGATGCAGACCTATGATTTCTCCACCGATCAAGTGCGCCACCAACCAACCCTCCTGGGCAGGCCCTGAACGAGCGCGGCGTCGTCATCCGCGTGCAGCTGCTGCCCCAGGCCTCGCCCCTCTTCAACATGGTTCAGCCCGACATGAGGAACGAGCTGGTGGTCAGGCTGCAGCCCGGTGGGTTGGCCCTGACTTTGGGGTGCCTGGTTGGGTATGCGCGAAGGTGGAAGAGTGGTCAACGCCACCAACGGTTGACTAACTCGCCGCGGTCCCTGGTTTTTAAGAAGGGGTGAGGCCAGGCGCCTGCGGCGTCAGGCTGCGCCTTTGCAGGGGCTTTGAACATGTCACATGTGGGCGACCAAACGTGCGTTCACCGCCAGCTTGACGACTTGAGCTTGTTTTGACTTGCATCACCCCTCCGCCGCCTCCCCCCCGGCCAAACCTCGTCCCCCTACCCCTGGCCAAACCCCAGGCGAGGCCATGTGGGCCAAGATGGTGGTCAAGGCTCCTGGGCTGGAGATGGCGGCAGAAATGAGCGAGCTGGACCTGTCGTACGGGGAGAGGTGTGGCGGCCCGCCAACAATGATGAGGATGTCGTGGCCATGCACTTGCGATTGATTGACTCGACTTGCTCGTTGCCTGCTTTTACATGTGTACCAGTTGCATACTTATCAATCCATCTGCAAGGCGCGGGGTTTTGTGGATGGTCCCTGCATGCCCAGGTCATCGCGCAAACAGGCCCTGCACGCCTGGTTTTCTGTCGTCATTGGTGTGCGCTCACCCTGCACAGCACCCGCCACCCGCAAGCATCACCACTACCCTATCCTACCCTCAGACGCGCATCCCCTTGTCTGTCTTTTCTCCTGACCTGGTGTTGATACACCCACTTACATACACTTCCGACACCGCCCCCCACATGGAAGGTATCTGGACGCTGTCATCCCCGATGCGTACGAGCGGCTCATCCTGGACTGCATCAGGTCTGGAGCTTGGACTGCCTGAGACGGCATGGCTGATAGGCATGCGACCCGCGTTCGTGACGCGTCTGGCTCAGCGCTCACAGGTTGACCATGGCATGTGCACAAAGCAGTTGTGTTGGCACTCCATGTTAGCGGCGCTGTAGACCGCCGGACCGCCATCCTTTCCCGCTCTTCCACCCCCAACTCTCCAGGGGCGACCAGCAGCACTTTGTGCGCCGCGATGAGCTGCGTGCGGCCTGGTGAGTGCCGGCCAGCTTCATTTGTGGTGAGGCTGCCGCCAACAATCTGCAAGCGCTGGTAGACACGCAGCATTCAACTCTGTGGCTCGTGACATGCGTGTGAAGCGCGCCGCATTTCACCTCGACTGCTGATCGACCCTCTAAAACCTCGCACCGCTGCAGGGCCATCTTCACCCCGCTGCTGGCTGCGATTGACAGCGGAGAGATCGACCCGGAGCCCTACGTCTACGGCTCGAGGGGGCCGCCCAGCCAAGACAGCTTCCTTGCATCCACGGGTGGGCATGTCGGGTGTAGTTGAATACGCTATTCCGTGTATCATTTGACGCCATTCCGCAAGTGATCGTGTGTGATGTGCTTCCTGGTGTGTTGAGCACCCACGGCCACCTGTCAGCGGTTGTGTGACTAAGTAGTACCCCGTGAGAGGACGAAGCCCTGTTGACGATGCCCCTGCTAGGATTGGCAATGGCCGCGCACTCTCACATGCTCGTGTCACACTGCTCTCTCCCAGGCTACGTGCGCAGCAGCCGCTACACCTGGAGGCCCCACACGCTTCGGAAGGGAGAGAAGGTGAGGGTACAGGGAGAGGGTGTTATAGTATGTGGTTGTTTTTGTGTTTGTGTTTGTGTTTATGTCTATGAGAAGAGAGAGGGGAAAGGGAGGTTTCTGGGGCAGAGGATGGCAGAGGAGGGTAAGGCATAGGGACACGCAGTGAGCCTGGCCCTAGTTTCCCTGATTGCATCGACTTGAGGCTTTTCACAACACCGACACGAAGGCCCATGGCATCGTAACCGCACCGTCTGCCGTGCCCTGGTCTTCCCGCAGGCCGTGGCGGATGCGGCCAAGTGACTTGGCAACCCCGTGTTTGGCAGCGTGACGCCGAAAACAACGCAGCGACGCGGGTGCACTCCCGGCATGCTCATCAAGGCACTCCACATACCTTCCTGAGGGCTGCCCTTGCCACACACAGTGTTTGACTGCAAGTTTGCAGTGCTGCATTACATGTGCAATTTAAGGGACAGGGTGGGGCGGCAAGCTGTGACCAGACGCCTGGACCTGTGCTGTTTGGGTGGGCCTGCTATAAGGGGACCTCCAGCATGGCGTGCCGGTGCGTGGGACGCTTGCTGCATACCAGGCAGCACTGTCCTGTCAGCATCCATTTGTCTTGTTCATGACACCACATTGCGGTGGAGCTGCGGTTTTGGAGCAGGTGTGGCCTCTCAGGTATCGGCCATCCATAAGCACGCCCCGCCTCCACTCGTTGCAAAGGGGCTCAAGCCGTGTTGTTTTTGCCTCTCCTGTCGCTACAACTGCGACAATTTCAGGGTGGGCAGGCCGGCTTTCTTTTGACTACACACGAGCATACTACGCTGTTGTTGCAAGGGACAAGGACTTTGCACAGGATTACCTGCTGCTGGCCAGCAGCTTGGCCCCCAACAAGGGGCATGTGTTGAGGCAAAGCATTCCATGTTATCGTCACAACGCACGCATGTTCATGGCTGGCTGCACCGCACTGCCATACTGTTGCAAATTATGGTGTCTAACAATGTCAACCCTGGTCAGCTTCAGCTGGACAGCACACTTGAATAGCTTCCAACCTGGCTGCACGAAAACGGTTGTGTCAACCAGGCCAGCTGCGGGTAGGACCTTACACATAAAGAACATGGGTCGTCGGTTTGTGGATCAGTCACAAATCGAACGAACTTCCCTGCAGTGGATTGGACGGCTCAAACCCTCGCAATGGGCTCAAACAGCATGCACAAGGTGTCATCGATAGAGCCGCACAAACTCATGGGCGCCGAGGTGTGGGCGGCTGGGGGCGACATGTGCAGAAGTTGCTGGTGACGTGTTTGCATTGTTTGTGCTGGTCCGCACAATCATGTGTGGTCTAGCCTGCACGTTCCTCAAGCCTGACCCGCACACATGGGCTTGCCAAGTGGCCAATCAAAAACGGGTGCTTGGTTTGCACCTCCCTAGCAACAAGATGGTACCTGAGAGGCACGTCATCGCTGTAGCGGTGTGGGCAGCGCATGCTTGCAAAAAACAGCAGTGGATACTGGTACAGGCAGCAATGCCAGGGGGCGCGGGGCGCCTGGACTATTGGCTGGATCTACAGTGCGGCAGCATCGGCAACGCGCAGGCAGGCTGCTAGGGCCCCAGTGCCAAAGCAAGCCGCGGCTGCCACAAATGCCGGCGTCGCGGGCGACCCTCAAAGCTGATAATGCACAAACACCACATACACCAATTTCCAGAGGGCTGATGGGCGGGCAAAGCAGCTGCTCCTGAGCAAAAACGTGGCGACGCCCGCAACAGCTGGGCTTCACACTACAAACGGCTCCGCACCCTGATCACCACCGGTGAGCCCGGCCCGATGCCCAGTGCGCCCAGCGCAGGCGGCACCCTACCAGACGGCTCCTGCCAGCTGCCCCGCCGCACGGCAACACCCAGCCGGGGCAGGTAAACCTCGGCAGCCGCACCGACCTCGCGCGGAGAGACAAACACGGCGCCGCTGCTGTGAGGGCCGCCGAGCATGTTTGTAAACGAGTGCGTATGGCCAAGGGCGGAGCCAAACAGGGGGCCGCTGCCGCTCGGGGCGTCGCCGTCATCCGGCAACAGTGCGTACGCTGGGCCAGGTGCCCGCTGCGGCAGTCCCCAATGCTCCGTGTCCTGCTCCCTCTGCCGCTGCTGCTGCCGCCGCTGCGGATGCTGCCACTGTGGCTGCTGGCCCGGCGCCAGCACAGGCGGTGCGGCGACGATCTGATCAGCTGGCCACTCCACCACGCTCACTGGCACCTCGAGTGCACTTGCGCGCACGACAGGGTCCGCTGCAAGCGTAGCCTCGTTTTGAAACTCACTCCTCCGCGGTACAGCTCCCACTGGTGGCCGAACCCAGGCCGTGCGCGCGCCTCCGCTGCCGCTGCCGCCGCTGCCGCCACCGCCGCTGCCAGCGCCCGCCCAGCTGCTGCGGCGTGCTCGGCCGCTGCTGCTGGTGGTGGGCGCTGCGGCGCCGCGCGTGCTGCTGGCGCACTGCTGCGCGATTTGCGCCGCGACGGCGTCGATGGTGCCAGGGCTGACCCCAAGCTCGCGCATGACAATCCTAGCCCTCTCCTCCGCCGATCCCGATGCCGCGTCGCCATCCCCCGGGTCCTCACCCTGGTGTTCGCTGCGGTGTAGGAAGTGAGTTGCGCGCTGCGGCTGCAGCTGCTGCTGCTGCTGCTGCTGCAGCTGCTGCTGCTGCTGCTGCTGCTGCTGCTGCTGCTGCTGCTGCTGGGCGCGGCGGCCGCCCCACGTGCCTGCTTGCGCCCCGCGCTCACAGGCACACGCCGGCTGCAAGCCCAGCACGGCCGCCGTCCAGGCAGCCGGCGCGGCCGCCGGCCCGCGCTCCAGCGCGGCGCCGCCCTTGCCGGCGGCGGCGGGCCGCCTTGCGGTTCGGGCCGCCCACTCTTGCTCAGCGCCGCTCAGCAGCCACCTGCATGCGAGAACGAGGAGATAGCTGGCAAATCAATGCCCTCGGCAGCTCCAGAGCAAAAACGCCCAGCACCTGCCAGCATGAAACATCCCGCTGCCGCGCGCTGCTGCTGCTGTCGGCGCGTTCCCACCTATTTGCAGCAGCACGCTGTTCGCAGGCGCCGCGCCGCGCCCCCAATCCCATCCCCGCACGACACCAACGCCGCCCGCACCTGACGCACGACGCGTACTGCGCGGGGTGCGCCACCACATGCGACACGTGCAGCGAGTCGTCCCACGCCTGCTCCAGCACCTGGTGGCCAGACAGCCGCAGCTGCCCCGCCAGGGCGGCCGCCCTTTGGGCGTCGACCAAGCCATCAGTGTAGCTGTACAGAAACAGGACGGGCCCCTGCGAGCGCACGCGGCAGGGCGGGGGGGTCGAGGGGGAGATGGGCGGCGCGCATGTGGTGAGGAGGCCGCGCGCACTGCGCGGCACGGCCGTCTGTCCGCGCTTGTCGCATTGCCGCCCGCTTTGGTGCCGATACCATACCGCGACACCTCTCCCTGCACCCTCGGCTCGGCCCTCTCTGCAGCCTCTCAGCGCGATCCAGCTCATTCGGTCTGATTTCCTGCAGCACACGTATGGACCGCCGCAGCCCACCTTGAAGGGCGGGTGGCGCAGCGCGCTCCACAGCGCCGCCCTGTCGGCCTCAAACACCTCGAGGAAAGCAAAGTCGAGGGCGCCCGCGGCCGCGGCCAGCGCGCCGCGCGCAAGGACGGCGACGCGGCCGGGGCCGGCGGGGGCGAGCAGCCGCTGGCCCTGGCCCAAGGCGGGGGTTTGGAGGGGAGTGGGCGCGTGGCAGTGCAGGGGTGGGGGCAAGCCACTGCAGCCGGCAGCCGCGGGAAGGCTCCTTGCCTCACACGAGCACAAACAGCCGGTGCTACTGCGCCGCAGCAATATGGCCCATGTATGGCGGTGCCGCCAGGCCCCCGCCTGCTTGCCGCATGGCGCGCTCACCGCCTCACTGGTGAAGTCGACCGGTGAGTCATACGCCTGGCCGACGGCGCAGCTGCGGACCCCGGAGAACTCGGCTGCTTCTCGGCCCTTGCCAGCCAGCAGCAGCAGGATCTGGTAGTAGACCGACTGGCGAGCGCACGGGGAAGGGAGGCGAGACGCGCGGGCCGCCGGCGCCGCAGAGGGTTGGTGCCCAGTGCGCTGGTCCCTGACTGGTGCAACCCGGTGGAGCTGTGCTGCTGGCAGCACACGGCGCTCACAGTCGGTGTCGTGGTATCGAAACGCGCGCGCCCTCGGCTCAGAAAGTGCAGCGGGCTGGAGGGCAGCGCTCCCGCCGCCACTGACCTTGATGGCGCCGCTGAAGGCGTAAAACACCACTGGCCGCTCGCCGCGCGCCGCGATATCCTCGCAAAGCGCGCCCAGCACGCGGCGCGCGTTGCGGGCCGCCCAGTAGGGAGCCCAGATCGCCAGCGCCGGCGGCGATGCGACCAACGCGTCCCAGCCGCAGCTGTGGGTGGCGCCGGGTTCAGTGGGCAGGTGGGTTGGCCGGGGCCGCAGTCGGAACCGGCCACTGTGCGGTTGTGCGTAGGGGACCAACAGCAGACGGGCGGCAGGAGGATCAGCAGCGTTCTGGGTCGTATGAGTCCGTACCTGTGGAATAGCTGGGCGTAAGTGCGGACGTGCTTGTCCTGCGCCCCGACCCATGCCAGCAGCACAACAACGGGCCGCGGTGCTGCGTCACGTCCGCTGTGTCGCGCCGCGTCAGCTGCTGCGCAGGCCTCCACTGTTGGCCCAGCCCCTTCCGATGGGCTGGGGCACCGCCACCATGTAAGCTTCATGTTTCGATGCGCTCTGAGCTGGCGATAGGGGCCGACATTACCATCTAGCCAGAAGGGCTCCCGCGATCTCGGGAAGAGCTTATTGCTCCTTATAATTGCGACATGATCCGAGATTCTATTTGTCTACACAAGTGGTTATGATATGCGAGTGCGACCGTGGCACTCCGAGGCACATTAGTGGGGGTGCTTGAGCGGGTCAAGTGTCTGACACTGTGCTCTCTGTACAGATGTATTCAGTCTCTTGCGCGACATCACACTCCCTACGCGCTCCCAATTGTGGCGCTGGACCGTAGTTGGCTCACGGGGGTGGGGTGTCGATCACATACTGGGCAATGTTTTGGTCAACCCTGCTCATGAGCTCAGACTCTCTGATGCTGTGTCGGATACGTGCGTCAAGGCTTGAGCGGACCCTGCTGAATAATGTCGTGTGCACACGCCCATCTTCACTGCATTGTTTGGTGCAGCGCTGTTGTACACCAGTCAATTCGTCCTGCGGGAAAAGGGGCAGAGGCCCATCTCACAGGCGGCGGGGTGTCAAAACATTTTCGTGTGCTGGCATTAGCGATATCTGACTGTGCGCATCCACGTCATTCTTGGAGCACATTCCCCTGCCACCGGTGCTTGAGGTACCATAAGCTTTGGCAGCTGCAAACTCCACAAATACATTCATGCCACAACAGCTCAGACACTTGTTGCGCAGCAGCTGCTGTCCCACGCGGTTTTGGTGGTGGCACGGCTCGGGCTTTGAAGACTCAACAGGGTTCCGTGATCACAGGATCAATTTCATGATGCTCTTGGCAATCACAATCAAAGGCATCTTCAGCGCAGGGGGACACCAGGGGCCCATTCCGCTGTGCACGCTCAAGTGTTGCGCGTCCCAGGTAGGTACCACCTGCAGACGCTCTGCCTGTAGATGTCGCAGCTGACAGCCCAGTTGTCGGGGATGCATCCTCAACAAGGGTTTGTGCGTGAAGACCAATTATAGAGACCATTTATTTGGTACTGTCTGTTGTTAATAGTTGAAAGGTTTGGGCCGATAGGATGGGCTCAGTTGCCTGAGGCCCAAGCAGGGAGTGTGCACTGCGCAACAACGAACGACGCAGCGACAGCCAGCCACGTTGGTGCGCAAGACAATACAAGGGGAGGGGACAGGCTGAACGGCGAACCACAGGACGCTGCGGATTGGCCCAGATCTGGAGCGCCAGACACCCTTGTAGCACTGGGTGCACAACTGGAACGGTGTTGCCGGCACGCACCCCTGCCACATTGCACGCCCCTGGTTGTGTCCAGAACACTCAGGTCGCTGTGTCAGCCGGATCGCGGCCTCACTCTCGGCGTGTTGGAGCTGTTGACCGCTGCCGTCACCCCAGCTCCCTGGCCAGGACCGCCGCAGCACTCAGCAGCCCCGCAGCTGCTGCACCCGCCCCGCCGCCGCAGCCCCGCAGCCTGGAGCAGCCACCCGCCGCCCGTCATCCAGCCACCGCCGCTGTGCTGCTGCTGGTGCTGGGGACTGCGTCCACTGCCATGACGGATGTGGCTGCCGGCCACCTGCTGCTGTTCCGCTGCCTCCGGGGCTGCCGCAGCCGCGGCAGCCGCAGCCGCGTCCCCCCGCTGGTGCCGCAGCTGCCGTTCAGCCTGCAGCTGCAGGACAGCTTCCAAGACGATGTCTTGGTACAGGACAGCGTAGCGGCGCCGCTGCTCGTCGGAAGGCAGCTGCTGCATCAGCTGTGCTGCCTCGGCGCGCAACTGCGCGTAGCCGCGTGGGTCGGCTCTTGTGGCCTTTTTGAGGTCATGCATGAGGCCTTCGAGCAGGGCGGCCACCTAGATTTGGAGGAAATCAAGGTGGATGACTCGATGCAGCCCAGGAGACACGCATGGCTTTCCAGATTGCAGCGAATGCTGTCAGCAATGGCTGCCTCGCAACGGTGCACGAACATGTGCACATCATTTGAGTGAGGGAAGACCTGCATGGGCCTTCTCACAATTTGTATGTCACACACGCAGCAAAAAGTTCTCATGACAGTTTGACAGGCTGGCGTTCGACCTAACAGCAATAGCCACCAAGCTGAACCTACCTGCAGGCGAGCCGCCGCCACCTCCCCTATCGCCGTCGCCTCCCGCTTGGCTGCCACCTCAGCCTCGGCCCTGGCCGCCGCTGCCTCCGACGCGGCGCCTGTGAGGAAACCTGCCAGCCGTTGCACCTCCGCCTCGGCCTCGCGGGCCCGTGCCTCCAGCTGGCAATAGTCGGCCTAGTTGAGCGCCCGCACGCATGACGTGGCACACAGCAATCACAAGGGTGCAGCGACACAAAAAAAGGCAAGCAAATATATCCATTCACTCGGTTGCCAAAGGTCAAACTCAGCAATACGCGCTTGTCACACAAACAGCGGTGCACAATATCCAGGGCTTGGCAACGAGTTTTCAGGTGTATTTGCCCATGCCAAATCCACAGACCTCGAGCTTGTTGGCATGGGCGGTCTTGGCTGCCTGCACCACCATCAGCCCATGTATCTGCCCAGGGAGGGGGCAGGGTGAGGGGCAGTGTTTCAGTGTGGGCTCTTCCACTCAATTGGTGGAACGTATTTGCTGTGGGGACACCAACCTCGGCATCTTGGGTGCAGCAGGTTTGCACATCCAAGCAAGCTTGTGGGGCAGCCTGGGGTGGTTCATTTGGGGGGCAACCCACAAGCCCCTAGAGACGGGCTGGCGAGCGCACGCTTGCTTTCAGTGCAATTTGAATCTCGCGCTGATCCGTCCCACCCACCTCTGCTTCTCCCCTGCTGATGGCGCCTGCGGCCTGCTTCAGCCACCGATCTTTGTCCCGCAGTTCCTCCTGCGCATGCCAGCAAACCAGCACGTCAACAGGCAGTGACGAAGGAGTTGCATCACCCAGTGATTGGACTCCAACGCTCCCGAACCTCGTAAGCTCCCCCCATGGCAGTGGGGACAAGCAAAAGTTGGTGTGAGGTGTTGCTGACTGTATGCAGCAACCTGGCTGTATGCAGCAACTCCCATCCATCCATATCCATGGCATTGGTCAGAGTCTGACCAATGCCTACCTTGAGCTGCAGAATCTGCTCGGAATTATCTTTGCTGGATCCCCCCAGCAGCATCCCCAACACTTTGCTGCTGCTGCTGCCAGAGGCAACGCCACCTTCGTCTGCACCACATCCGGCGGAGTCGCCGACAGCAGTGGAGGCAGCAGCGCCCGTGAGGCGCCGCTGACAAACGGCCTGGTCGGCGCTAGCAGGAAGCTGCCTGTAGTCTAGAAGCTGCGAGTAGGCCGATTTGGGTTAGTTGCAAAGCCGACGTGCAACGTGTGTCAGTCATAGCTTGTGTTTTCTTGCCTGTCAATCAGCGACGTAGAAAGGCACTTCAAACCAGGCGCTCTGCCTGGCCAGTTTGATGGAGGCCGCTGCACTTGTGCGCCCCGGGCGCCACGGAACCAGCCTCAACCTTGACAGCATCGAGTCACGTGTCGACGTGACAGGATCGCACCTGCGCCTCCAGGGCAACGCAGTGGCGCCGATAGTACGAGAGCTCCTCCTCCCTCTCAACGAGGATCGCTGCGAAAGCCTCGGCCCGCTCCTCCGCTGCCAGCTCAGCGCGGCGGATCCCAAGCACAAGCTCGCGAGCGGCCGCAACCGCCTGCCGGCCATCGCCAACGTCGCTGCCGGCCGCATCCGGGGCCGTGCGGACGTCCCCGCAGCAGCCGGCCCCTGTGAGCGCAGCGGCAATGACGCCGCTGCCACCCGTCAGGACCGAAAGCTCGCGCCTCGCAGCCTCCAGGCGCGCGGCGAGCTGCGCCAGGCGCCCCTCTGCGGACGCAGCCCGAGCAGCCTGGTCGGCTGCGAGCGCCCGCGCCTCTGCCAGCTGGCCAGAGAGCTCGCGCTCGCGCGCATCTGCAGCCTTGCCGCGCGCCTCATCGTCAGCCGCCCTGTCTACTAGCACCAGGCGCAGCGCGTCCAGCTGGCGCGATAGGGCGGCGCTTGTCCGGCGCTCGTCGTCCGCGGCGGCGTTCACCGAGGCCAGGTCTGCCTCGGAGCGCTCAAGGCGTTCCTTGGCCACTGCCAGGAGCGAAGCGGCAGCTTGCAGCTGCGTGGTGCCGCCCAGCGCCTGCTGCTGCTTTTTGATGATGGCGGCCCCCACATAGCAGGGTGGGATGGAAAGGAGACATTAGGAGAGGAGCGCCCACTGGGATCGCCTACCAGGACCGCCTTCTAGGACTGCCAACTGACATCGTGTTTGCATCCGTCACTGTGGCTTGTATGCAGGGTTGGTCAGTCCCTATCAGGTGTGCTGATCGCAAACCATCAAAATCACTGTTCTTTGCAGCACACCCTTGCACGGTTTGTTCGCTCTCACAGTTGCAGCTTCAGCGCCGCCGCCCCCGCAGCGCCGCTGCGGCTCATCTGCCTCGTGCTGCTGCACGGGTTGCGTGGCGTGGCGGCGCTGCCATGCGCCGCCGGCTGGGCCTATGTCCTCGTCGTCGCGCGTACACGCGGCGGATGCGTGCGTGCCGGAGCAGTGCTGGCTAGGCGTGTCTCGTCGGCCTTCCCTCTTGTCCGTCCGTGAGCTGGACCGACCAGAGCCAAGCTGGTCGGCAGGGGCAGGGGCGGCGGCAGGGTCGCTCTTTCCGCCCCTTGGGGAAGGGCTGCGTCGGGCTGCGTCCGGCCTCAACGCTTGAGCTGACGCGGGCCGGGAACTGCCGGCGTGGCGTGGGCTCGGCGCAACGTCTGGGGAGTCCATGCTATATTTCACTGTGTGCCACACGCATCCTTCGCTCGTTGTGAAGTGCTAGCGCATTCCCCGCGCCTCAAACCCACGGCACCAAACAATTTACGAGTTGTAGCTGCGTACGGTACGATGATCCAACAAATCAGTCTCGGTTTACTGAAATGTGCATACTCTGCCATATCTCTATGCACGATCTACAATCGTCCTTGACGAGCCAAGCCGAGCAAAAAAACCGTCCAAACTTCCGCAGGCAGGACGGCACTCCATTGTGTTGCTGCTCCCCCGTCGTCTGAGTGAATAGTAGCGATGCTAGTGTGATCAGACATCCAAGACCACTTGCGGGCCCATGCTTTCTTCTCTCGCGTCACACAGACATGTGCAGGGCTGGGAATGGCAATCGTCTTTTGCTGATTTCCCCATGAGCATTGTGGGGTCGTCCCTGTCCCCCAAACCAACATATGAGCGTTGGAAAAGAACCGTAACAACTGGGTGCGTCCATGATACTAGCAGGCAAACTCCCTTCTGCCTTCCACCATGTGACAACTGAAAAGTTACCAATCATCATGCACACAGGCGCATGAAGACGAGCAGGGGAGGGCGGTGTGCCCAAGTCGTGTTGCTAGGCCCCAGTCACGCGTCCACTGCTATCGTTCCTGAAGTAGTGGCCGAAGCGGCAACGGCGCAACAGGCGCCAAAAGACCGCGGCGCGTGTGCTGCGTGAGAGGCGAAATACTGCAGGGCGTGTCGGCCCCGGCCTCCGTCGCTGGGGGTGCGTCCGTGGCGCGCTGCAGTCAATAGCACCGCAAGCCCCTGCGTTTCGAGCCCCGGTTCGGGTCGAGAGCATGGCGTGCTCTCAGAGCATGGCGTGCTCTTGACACAGGGTCGAAGAGGAAGGGGGCCCCTGCAAGAAGTCAACAGATCAAGAAGCTCTCGTATGGACACAGCATCAAAAAGTCTCGCGACGGCCGAGCGTTTGGCCCCTTGTCAGGCACCGGTGGGCGCGATTAAGCAGCAGCAACGCCCTCTCAACCCGGCATGATCTCGGTCAAAATTTGAGGCATTCTGCGCGTGCCTGAGGGTATGCACGCGCTGCCGCGGTGCAGACAGCCGCAGGCGGCGCCATGCCCCACGGCCTCCCTGGCGGGGCCACGCAGCCCCCCCTACTCTGACTCCTCGTCGCCGCTGCTGCTGACGCGCCTTCGCCCGTTGAGCGCGCCGCCGTTCTGCTTCCCGCGCTTCGCGGCCGGCGCCGGGTCGTGGTGTCGCGCGTCCAGGGCATCGCCCGCCAGCGCCGCTGCGGGCTGCTGCTGCTTGCGCTGGCGCTTCAAGCCGGGGCCGGGTGCCGGCTGCTCCTCAATGGAGGGCTGGCCGCCGCCGTTGCGCACCTGCTTTGCAGCCACAGCCAATGGTTTGGCGCGAGGGTGACGAGGCATGCCTTTTGTTAGGGAACCGATACGACTTCATTAACACGCACTCCAGAAAACAAAGAGCGCCAGCAACATATCCGCAGCCAAATGCATGCAGGGCCCCGCCCCTCGCGCGCTCGCAGCGGCCGCGCGCGGCCCCGCCCGCATCGACGGCCGCACCTCGTGGGGAGCCGGGTCGCCACCCAGGCGCTCAATCTCGTCCCTGGCACGCCCCAGCTGATCTTCAAGCGCAAGCGCCCGCCTCTCCGCCTCGTCGGCGCGCGCCTGCGGCCCGCATACGCACGCAAGTTCGCGCAGTGCGCAGCGTCTCGGTGCGTGCAAATGTGAGTGCTGGGTCGCGTCCTGCACGAACCAGACCCGTGCGCAGGCCAACTGCAGCCTGCCAACCACCTTTCGAAGTCAAAGACCCACCACAACTCCTGGGCCCCGCGCGCCGCTCTGCGAAGACCCCCTGCCGCCGCCGCGGCCTCCACCAAAGAAGCCAAACGAACAAGCCAGGCCGTGCCATCTGCCCGTACAGCCGCAACCAGGCGACCAGCTGTCGAGCATGGGCCAAGGTGACACGGCGCCTGCCAGTGCTGCGGGCCGCAGCCACTCACCTGCGCGTCCTGCATGCGGCTGAGCATGTCCTCCAGCTGCTGCTCCAGCGTCTGCAGGTGCTCCTGCTTGCGCTTACGCGACCGCCGCGCGCTCTCGCGGTTGGACTGCATGCGGCGCATGCGGCGGACCTCGTTCTTGTCCAGTCCAGTCATGTCCTCCATGCCGCTGCCGTCGCCGCCGCCGCCGCCGCCGCTGCTGGTCGTGGCGCCGCCGCCAAAGCCGTTGGCAGCCGTGGCGGCCGCGGCCGCGATGGCGGCGCCGCCGCCGCT